AATAATAAGTAGTAATATTTTAAAAATTCCAAGTTATTTTTCAACAATGCATGTAATATACAGTAGCTTACCTGACAACTACCAGACTTGGAACTTGCCTGGTCATGTCTCAGCTAGTGACCTGGAGTGTACAGAAGTAAAAGCTATCAGCAATTTTGTGTTAAATACCTCCTTTTTTCTTTCTTTCCCCATATAAAAAGAGTTACAATTCAGAGAAAATCAAAAGCATGCACATAGACACACAAATCTCTGAAAAAAAATATTTCTCCTTAAACTCAATTTATTTCATTCTGTCTTTGAATGTAAACATTCATCAGCTGCTGGGAGAATTCTGTTTTGCTGTTAAGTATGGGGTAGTTTTGAAAGTTTTAAAGAGAAGCGTGAATCCCTAGATCTGCATCCAATAATCAGAACTGCAGTACCAACTGATGCCACTTCAGCTGTGTGCTGGATTGCTAAATACGGTGAATGAAAGATCTAGTTTAAAAAAAGGTACCGTTACACATCTAAATGGATTGAAACCTTAGTCAAATAATATTTGAAGATGAAAAAAGGTGATGATTTAAGTTAACAATGTTTCTGCTTGAGCAGCTGAGCACTATTAGAAAACCAAATACAGAGAAAAAACAGTTGTTAATTATATTTTATTGCAGGTGATCATTGTGGAGAAGTAATTTTTATTTTGTGGATTTTTTAAAATCATGTTTTAAGTTGCCAGACAAGAAGTTGGATGCTGAAAAAAAGTGTTCTTTAACTGCTTTTTCTGTTTATGCTAAAGGGGCGTGATGACCTGAGACAAGATGCTGTTATGCAACAGGTTTTCCAGATGTGCAATACATTGCTCCAGCAAAACACTGAAACACGAAAGAGAAAATTAACTATCCGAAGATACAAGGTAACCCTGAACGGCTGCTGCAACAGACGAATAAATGCTACCAATAAAGCGTATTTCCCAATTCTCCTCTTTTCAACCCAAAGACAATATAAAAGTGTATTTGTTTGTACATTATTAAAATAGTCATTGCTCCTTCAGATATGGAATAAACAATTAATACAATTTAATTATTACAATTACAACAATTATTGCAATTTAATTTTTTCCAAATCCTTACAAAAAATCTGATGCCCTATATATACTTAGATACTCTTCAAAGCTTTCTTTATATGAACTTATAATTGAAAAAAATTAAGTGATGCCGTGTCCTTGAATTGTAGGTTACTAGTCATTAAACTTGAGCATATGAGTTTGTTTATGAATTCATTAAATTTAGTCTTGCAATCTTCCTTAATTAATAATTAATTTTAATCTTGCGATATTCCTTACAATTAAATTCAAAGTCCCCTGTGGGGTCTGTTCATGCAGAATTTGAATTGCAGAACTGGTTTTGTTGGAATTGGGAATACAGCAATAAATTCTTACTGTGAATGCAGAAAATGTATTTGAACAGGAACTTTCACCTCCTCCTTCCTTTTTATGTGCTTGGGTTTATAATGATAGCTATGAAGGTGACCTCTAAATAAGTGCTCTCGAAGTCAAAGTTCCTGTCTTTGACAAATGAGAAATGTGCACTCCAGAATCTCTAAAGGAGCTTATCTAAGAATTCACAGGTGGAGTTAGAGTCACATTTTTTGAATAATTTTCAATGGAGACTCAGGTTTTTATGTGTGTAAAAATGAATGAGAGCAGGGGAGAAGAGAATGGGGGTTGCATTATGAAATAAAGAGGCTTTAATAAAAAAAAGAAAACTGAAGGAAACAGGCAGTAGCTATTTCTCTTGAGGACAGGAGATTGCTCATTCTGGCCAGTTCTGTCTGCTGCAGCAGTTGAGGTAACTATTACAGCCAGTTACGAAGTGAGAAACTGTTCCCTAGGATGGGAAGCAGACTAAGACAAGCCTAACATGTTCACACACCTACCATGTGTTTGTTCCAGATTTTACTTTTTACGTGCAGTTTGCACAATGCTTGTATTATCCCATTCAAGCATAGCAAGCTGCTGGCAATCACAGGTTGTCTAGAATAGTGACACAGATGTGCAGATTGAGTAGAATCATTAAGTTGTACTGAAGTATGCAGTGGAAGGTTCTCTGGGCTAGGAAAAAAATTGCAAGTGTTTGGTTGAAAAACCTTGAATGTGTTTTATATATGTATTACATGTGTGTTTAAAACATATATTGTGATCAGCTGCATGGTTTGGTCTTTTGTCTTTTTAAACAAACACATATACCCACCCAAGCTCTGTAGCGTGCGTATTCACAGTTGTGTGTGTATAACCCTTCCCCATGCAGCAGTGGTTTTGTTTTTACAGGTGGTTCCGCTTTCTCAGAGAAGTGGTGTTCTTGAGTGGTGCTCAGGAACAACTCCCATTGGGGAGTTTCTTGTGAATATGGAAGAGGGAGCTCACAAGAGATACAGGCCAAAAGATTACTCTAGTTACCAGTGTCAGAAAATAATGATGGTGAGTCAAAATAAAAAACAAAAAAATTGTTGGTTCATATTCTTTCCTGGGGGGAGTGGAATTTACAGAGAATTATATACTGTGCTTTTAGTGTATAATAATGAATATGATTAGTGGCAAATAGTTTTTACAAAATGGAAAGTTGATGAATGGATGACTGTTGCAGGAAAGATCTGAATACAGCTGAATCTCCAAATCTGTGAATTGTTTTCTAGAATATAAATCTAGTGGAATTCCAAAATTATCATTATGGAGACCCAACAGACTCAGTATGAAGTTATCTTACAGAATTAATTTATATTTGTCATGTTTCTCATTGCATTGGAAAAAATTGTTTTATTTTCATGAGTAAATCAAAATTCTAAATACTAGTCCTTGAAAATAAAAACATGATTTTAGAATGCAGACGAGATTATTATAATGGCTTAATTGCTGTAAGGCAGCATGGAGGGGTCTGGGCTTCTCCTCCACCAGGACATCTGTGTACCCTCTGGCACCCACAGTGAGCCAGTTCAGCGAGCTAAGGCAATGGAAGACTAACTTTATGTTAAACTGGCAGAAAAATACCTTGTTCAGTAGATACAAATAGGGGAGGGTTCTTTCTTCTGATGAAGGGTGGCTGCTAGATGGGTTTAGCTGGTTTAGTTTGGTTCCACAAACCACCTCACCATATGTTTAGAACATTGCTAAGAGTTTTACCTGTTACTTTATATAGCCATGATTTTGTAAGAAATTATTTCCTTTTAAATCTGGATAATATTAACAGGATAAAAATATATTTGATTGTGGCTTTGTGCAACATTTGCATGTAAATGACTGAGAATTACTTTCTCACAGTGACCTGGAGCCATCAGATAAGCAATGGTACCAGAACAGAGTGCAAGGGGGAGTATCTCCCAAAAAGATTCATTTGCCTGTACATGCATATAAAATACATACACCTGCCAAGCCAAAGAAAAGGAGTGTGGTTTTTACACGTAGTCCATGAGTTGTGCATGAAAATGTAATTGTTTGATAAAACAGATAGGTGCATTAATGATTGCTGTAAAAAAGACATTAATTCATAGCTCAGAGAGAGAAAGGAGTGAGAACAGCATTTGATGGAGGGCAGAGGGGTAGAAAGCAGGA